CAGAGAGTTTAGAGGATTATATGACCTCTGATCAGAAGTGGTGCATGGGGTTACCATTGGTGATGTGTGTGGAAATGATTGGAATGTTCTTCATGCATAAATGGGAGAGGTAGTAACAATTTGGGCTGAAGGGAAAAAAGAAGGGAGTGGCTGTCAGGATAACTATTTCCACTTTGGCCTTCTACAATGTTAGACCACCACCATAATTGCACAATAATTTTATACTAGAGGAAAAACCTTTTAACATTTACCACTAAAACTTTAAAAAGTAATAAGAATTATTCTGATAAAATTGTGAACACTTGCATTCATCCACATGTTCATTCTACATGATGATAATTTATTCTAGACACTTGAAAAACTATTTTCCAGGAAAAGTTAAAGAGTACATGCAGGAAGATAGTAAGAGTATCAGTAGAGGAACAGAAGCTGCTAGTGTTGAGTGAAATATTGGAAATATGCACAACACACAAAGAGAGAGAGACAGTGCATGGGTCCCTGATGAAACCAGTCTGGATGGGAGCATCTTGCGATGTGGGACTCTAGACAGTGAGACCTCTTAAATTCCATATGTAGAAGGTCTCACAGATTACCACAATGTTGAAAGGCATAAAAGGACAGATTCTTTGGGGTTCCAGTCCACCTGACTGAGTGAGTGACTCTTCAGTTGGGATGCACACTGTGGATCTCACTCCACAAAGACTTCCAGCTGGGGTTCCCTCTCCAGCACCCTGACTTTAGGACAGTCCACTTAGCCTCTTGGTTTCCTTTCCTCTGTGTCACAGCCACTTTTCTCATAGGGATAGAACCTCCCTATGGAGGAGGGGATCCACCTCCATAGCAAGAAAAGGATTTTGGGTCTTCTCCATAAGAGGGGGACACTGCCTGCTCCCACAGTCCCAACCATGCTGCGGCTACTGCAGATGGTGCTTGGCAATGGCCCCACCCCAACACCGCTCCTCCTTTCTTCACTGAGGCAGAGGAGAGGGCACTTCTGAGACACTGTGAACCCCATGCTATGCAATCCAGACAGAAACCCTTGGAATCATCACCACTTGCCAGAGCCCTGAGCTCTAAGTTTCTTCCTCTTCATCATATTTCTATCCTACATCAAAGCCAGGACCCACAAAACACTCTCCAGTATCTCCTACTGAGAGACAAGGAAATCTCTCTGCTAACACCATGCAACTCTTCATCTGGGGCCTATGGGGATTCCTTCTGATGTTTTTTTTAAATGTTTCTAAATTCCAAATTTTAACTGGTTTCTGCTTCACCAAGTTGCAATTCAATGACTTCTTATGGTTCTTCTGTTTCTCAAAGAGCTGTGTATTTTTTGGTTGCATAAATCTTCTACCATATGCATGTTTTTTGTTATTTGACTGACACAATATGTAAATAGTATCATAGATGGTTGTTTAAGGGAAAATGGGTCTCAGAAATAGAAGTGCAACAAGGCTTAAAAGCGGAAGCATGATTAAAAATTATCAAGTGCAACTTGTGTGCATGTACAATTCCCCAACATGAACATAATTATTACATACCACATGGATGTATGCATGAAACTTGTTTTAAGTATTCAAGACTACATTAGGTGTGTTACCTATCTGTGGTCTTGCTTTTTCAAACCCCTACCCCTCTTGTGAAATTCTCTAAAATAAATTTTCATGCACATGCTAAATACTATTTGACAGATGCATCTTCACTGGTAGGAACTCAGTGATTGAAGAATCATCTCTCTCTTGCAAGAGTAATGATACACAATTATATATAATTTATTAGGTAATAGAAAATGATGTTAATATTTTACATGTTTTCATGCATGTAGTTTTTATGGAAATATCTCCAAGAAAATATATTATTTCTTTTAATCATAAATGAGAAAACTGTAAAAAATTTTAAATACAAGTACTTTGCTCAGTGCTACATAACTCTTCCCAGTGATTTCTGAATTTGATCCTAAATAATGGGTCACAGAGGTCCTAATTTTAAGTTTGTTATGCATCCAGAGATGATGCTTGTCATTATATTTTATTCAACTTCAACAACTAAATTTAGAAATTATTAATGGTTTTTATTAAGTCAGTGGTAGAAATAGGAAAATATTAAAAGCCTATAAGAATGATTTCTTCTGGATTGGTTGACACATTTCATTCCTTTAATGACCAGTAACAGATTTGGGACTTGAGTTGTTAATAAGGCAAAGTCATACAAAGAAAGAACACCTGAAAAGATGAACCAAGTGAGCTAGGAACAAGGAAACAATAGAAAATCCCAAGATCAGACTGCATAGGATCAGTTTGAATCGTACTGATGTGGATGTGCCCTCACACTTTAAAAGTTGCACTGGATGCCACTGCAGTATAAATCACGTAGTTATGTATAAAAGATAGCTGAGAAGTCATAGGACAGGGTAGGAGTTAAAGGATGGTAGAATTTCCATTTACACATAGAGTACAAAAAGCTATAATTAATATTCATCTATCTTGTATTTTAAAATCTCATTAATCTAGAAAATCACATTTTTTATGAGAGTCAAGTCTGAGGTCACCTTGATTCAAAATCTAAATTCCAAGACAAAATTCTTCCAAGAAATCCAAAAGAAAACCATGACATTTCTCACTTAAGCAAGATTGAGAAATATCCATTATCAGTATTGTTATGGTTCGATAACTAGTGGTCAACTTAACGCCAGCTGGATTACATCAGCATGTATTGAGAGAAGATGCTCCACCTGAGAAGGGTTGCTAGGATAAATAGGTGGAGAAGAAGAGAGGTTTGGAGAGGGATTGAGGCATTATGGAGGCATTGTTAGTTCTCCTACAAGTTGCTGTCTGAGCTGTTGGTTCTCCTGGAGAAGCTTTGGTCTTCATATCGAGCATTGCTTCCTGGCTCCGGAGGGGAAAACATGTGCTGCCTGGTCTCCAGGGTGAACTTGTCACGCTGCTTCCTGGCACGTTCCTGACTGTGCTTGTCGTCGGAGGAGCTCGGGGCCTCCGTGTCGCTGAGGACAGTTGTGGTTCCTTTCAGGACAGCCCCGTTTTTTTGTTGTGAGTGTGACTTCTCAGCTCCAGTGTAGAACTCTCATCCCACTAGCACAGTTCCTTCATCCTGCTGGCACGGACTTTCTGTCTTCCACCTCTGACCCTTGGGTCTTCCCAGCATGAATCCATAAAAGAGACTGGCATGAGTCCTTGTGGGCCCTGGACTTCCAGTTGGACTCATGGAGGCGTTGTCCTGAGCTCTGGGTTTTTATCTGGACTCATGTGGGACATTGCCGTGGGGTTTAGGCTCTTGACTTAAATAATCTATGTCTTTGGTGTTGTGCCTAGATTTCCTGCATTCTCCTGTGTTAACTTCCGGTGACCAACAGAAGTATGTAGAATCAGTGTACTGTTGTTTGACGTTAAGCATAATAAACATCACATAGATAATGAGAATCAAGAAAAAGAATCTGGGATATCTGATTGAAAATTAAAAATAATCAGTTATACTAAACATGATGCAAATAAGGAACCGAATTTATCAAGTACTTAAATATTTAATGAAATCATTGATGATACAATACAGAACACAATGAAGCAAGGAGAAAATTATGGAACAATATGTGACATTGTTGCATCAAAAATAAAGATTCTGGAAAGGTACTATGAAATGCTAGAAAACAGTCTTCAAATAATCAAAGAAAAAATCCAGTTAAAAATGTCAACAATACAACAAATGAATCAGAAGGCAGAATATCAGAAGTAAATGGCAAAGTGCATGTTTTGGACTAGTGATCCAGACAATAAAGCACGAGAAGTAATGAGAAGCTCTTTGTCAAGTGCAGAAAGTTGAGGCTTTAGCATGGTTCACGGAAAAACACATAACATCTAGGATTGCTCACTGATGTTTAAATTGGTAAACTCACAACATTTCAGGTTCAAAGTACTGCACCATGATAGTCTAAATTTTGCTGATATACTGGATACATGTTAACCTTGCAGGTTTTTATTAAAAGATTATTACATATGAAACTTTAAAGTCAATAAAGAATGCAGCAGCAATTGTTAAGGAAAGACAGGAACTAGGTTAACTATGTATAGACATACATTCATTACTACTGATCTAGTACAACATGCAGAAAACTGTCAACAATGTATACAGTGTTTCTCTTTTCTCTAATGATTACTTTCCACATTATTATATATTACTTCATATAACTCAATTTCATTTCAATTTACTGCCTTACACAGAATCCAAAATTGAGTTTTCAGTGTTATTATTTATCTGTATATATCTTTGTAAATTGAACTCAATGAAAGATATTTGTGAAACACTGAGGAATATGGTTTAGAAATATGAAGTATATAACTTAAAAAGTATTACAGGTTTGCCATTCTTCTGTTCATGGCAGCCAGTATTTTTTATTGTCCTAAAAGTTTATATTTCTCTTCTGAACACAGGATATAGAGTGATGATATATCCATTCTATATCATGGATAAACTCTATTCAGGTGGGGCAATGAACCTTACTGTTTCAGCGAGTTAGTATGGGTGGCGTGCTGGAGAAGCACTGAGTCTAGAATCTAAATGCTGTAATTTTGACTGGAAAGCCATTGCCCTAAACCTTACTCCTGATAATCATGCTAAACAAAATAACAGGAAAAATGAAATTATTTTTCATTTAAAAATTCCTTAAAATGGAGCATGTGGAAATATTATATTGATACAGATTTTAAAATCACAATTTTTTTCTCATTTTGCACACATTTATCCAGAAGACACAGTTTTTTTTTAAAGATCATAGATGTAACCATTAATTCATGGCTACAGTATCCAATATAATTTGTTAGAACTTGTATTTCACAGTGTGCAAGGTTATGTTTGTTAAGCACAGGGGAGCTGGCAAGGGGAAAAGAAAGAAGATAATTTTTTTTTTCAAAATGGGACCAAAACATTTCTCAGAAGAAATATCAAAGAAAGTGGACAAGTGTGTATGCCTGGAAACACTGTTATTTTAATTACCTGGAGCCCCTTCTCTTCTGCATAACTCTACCAACAGCGTTTCTCACCTCTTTATTTCTGAGACTGTAGATGAGAGGATTCAGCATGGGGATCACAATCGTGTAAAACACAGAAGCCACCTGACCCTTTCCCAAGGAGTAGGATTCTTTTGGTTTTACGTAAGTAGAGATTGTGGTGCTGTAAAAGGTGGTGACCACTAGGACATGAGACGCACAGGTTGAGAAGGCTTTTTTCTTTCCTGCAGTAGAGTTAATTTTCAGGATAGTGAAGAGAATGGATGCATAGGATCCAGCTATGGTGAAAATGGGCAACAATGCATTGAGTCCACTACAAATGAATATAATCAGTTCAACCTCATAAGTATCACTGCAAGACAGGGCTAAAATTGGGAACACATCACAGAAAAAATGATGGATTATATTAGTGTTGCAGAAATGCAGTCTGCTCATGCAAACAGCAAAAACAGTGGAATTCACAAAACCAATAACATAGGAACCAGTGAGCAGGGTAAGGCATCGTCTTGTGGACATAATGATTGGATAGTGTAGTGGTCTGCAGATAGCTACATAGCGGTCATAGGCCATGGAAGAGAGAAGAAAGCATTCAGTAGCAGCAAAGTCTATGAAAAAGTACAGCTGAGTGAAGCAGCCCAGAACTGAGATGCTCTTGCTGGAAGTCAGTAAGTTCTGTAAGGTTCTAGGGGTGATGACACTCGAGTAACTGAGATCAAGAAGTGATAGGTGAATGAGGAAAAAGTACATGGGGGTGTGAAGATGGGCATCCAGCTGAATGATCAGTATCATCCCTGCATTCCCCAGCACTGTGACTAGGTAGATCATGAGGAAGAGCATGAAGAGAACCAACTGTATCTCTTCAGAATCCGCTAGCCCCATCAGAATGAAGTAAGGTACATTGGTAGCATTCCATATACCCATGCCGTTCTGCTGCTTTTATCTGTTGAGTAATCCATCTAAAAAATCATCCTGTTTCCAAAAACATATAGTTTTGTCAATGTGTAATTATATTTTATAATGAGTGTACTTAGAAATTGATGAAACTACTGTGAAAAAACATAACTGCCATGTATAAATATGGGTAAAGGTGACATCATTTGTGATATATCACAGAATTACATGCTGTTTTTAAATTTTTTTGGTTGGTTTCTTTGTTTTTTGTTTGTTTGTTTGTTTTTTGGTATAAGGGATAGAACTCATGACCTTGTGCCTGCCAGGCAGGCACTTAAGCCACTGAGCTAAATCACCAGCCCCGCTGTTTTTAACATTAAACTGATAGTACTCGAAACTCTTACCATTATCAACACAGGTTCAATTCTCAGGAAAAGAGTATGCACAAGGACTCTTGTACATATACTTTACTTCAGAACAAGAGCACAGAAATTACTTGTATTAAAGAGCAGTTACAAGTTGGCTCTCATTCCACGTAGACATTTTGACTCCTGAGAACTGAATTATAGTATTGTGTTCTTGATCACATCTTGTTTTAGCAACTCTGGATAAGCATATAACTGGTAGTGCTAAAATCTAATTTTTAGTGTGTTATGAATTGTTGTTTTTTCCTAATGACTTCTTGACTCATTAAGTGATTTCTTGCTAGAAATTTTGGTGAGTCACATTTGTATTATGTTCGTGAATAAACAGAAACTGAGAGAGGAAAAATGAGTCTTTTTGAGGCACAGTTTCTTTGTGTAGTCCAGAGTGGTTTGAAATCACTTTATGGCCCAGAAAACCTTGAATATGCATCAATCTTCCTGCCCACATAAAATTACATTTTTTCAAAAAATGTTCTTTTGGAGTATGTATATTGATTGGATACTTGGATTTAATTAATTCTATATTCTTTTTTTTACAAATCTTAATATTACTTCCAGTGGGACACAAATGATAAGTGGATACATAATTTTTGATAAAAATCTCTTATTTTATGTAGCATAACCCCCACTAGTTTCAGAAAGATACTTACTGTGGACCAAAGTTGCTGGAAAAACACTTTGCAGTGTTATGTGTTTAGATATCTGTGAGCCCTAAAATATTCTCAGAAAATCAATACAAAAGCCATAGAATTGAACTGAAAATTACTGTGACATATTCATTTTCTATATATACTTTAAAGTTTTTCTTCATTTTTTTATTCTGAGGAAAGTTATATTGCCTAGAAATTTTGTTCAAGTCTTGATCAGAGGAAAGCTACACCAGGAACTTTCTTCTGATTAGAATCCAAGGTAGAACTGTGAATGGGAATAGCCCCATGTATGTGGTTCCTCTGAGACTGATGATTCAAGGGTGATTCATATAATCTGTGTTCAGCATCCTGCAACATTTGGTCATCCTCAGGGAGTGATTTCCAAGGATGATTTATTGGCCAAATTCCAAACACTGAATTTATAGTTTGTAATGAACACAGGACTTTGTCTTTTCAAAGTCCCACATTTAGAACATAAATGCTTTATTTACTTTTGTGGTACTGTAAGTTTTTCTGAACTTCATTCATTTACTTTTTAAGTTGAAACATAGATATATAAGTTTTCTGCCAATAATGTTTACATTCAAGTAATTAGTTAGGGTTGCTTTTTCTCTAGAAAGCTGGAGAAGTTCGAGTTATACTTTACCACTCACACCATGAAGGATGGAAAAATTAACTTTTCACTTGGAAATGTTTAATACTTAAATGTATGACCTGGCTATAGACGTAATGCACACACACTAGAAAAAAATAAAAAACATTGAATTTAAAAAGAACAATAAAGCAATGCAAGACTTGTTAGCATTTTGCTTACATAATGGTAGTTTCCGCGCCTATCCCCTGTTGTAAGAGAAAAAAAATTTTGGAGAATACTTTTAGGTTTGTGTAAGTATTATATCACCACATGTCAGCATCTATCATAATTTTATGCCTGAAAGCATTCTGCCATGTCCTGCTCCTGTTAGCTGTTTTTCAGCCACAGCTCATGCATTGTGGTTTAGACAATTTCTCAGACTTTACTAAGGAGCTGAGTATTGACAGCTGAAGAATCAAAATCCTCAGACCTGACAGGGATGGGACAGAATCTCCATTCTGATTTCTCTGTGTGTCTGGCTTCATCTAAATGCTATATTCATAAAATATATTATTATTTTAGTGTTCCTGATATTTGGGTTTTATAAAAGAAAATAAGGAGAAAGACATACTCAGCTCAGATACTAAAATAAACTGTGAAATGCTCAGTAGGAAAATACATGCTTTGTTATACATACTCAACATAAGATGCTGTCTTCAAAAAAAGAGGAAATTAAAATACACCAAAGCTGAAATATTTTATTAATGGACAGTTCTAGCTTTAGGATTAGGTTCTTGTCACTGAGCTTCTCTGTGTGGTTGAAAGCTTGTCACTGCCTAATGAAGACAGAATAATCGTTGGTTATGTCAATATCTAAAGAACAAATCATGCACCAACATATGATTTGTAATATGTTTGAAAAATTGACCATTTTTCCTAGGATCATGAAGGGACAGTAGTAAGGTGGGATTGACTAGGGGCATAAGGGCCTTAAATAGAATATTTATTTATAAGAATAAAAGTTAAGAGAAGTGGAGGGGAGGAGGAAAACAGAAAAGAAAAGAGGGAGTATAAATGACAGGAGACAAAGCATATGGGGAGAGTGACTCAAATTAGTGAGTCAGCATACGTATATCTGTTAGAATGTTAGAGCCATGTAAGACCCTGGCATGGGGAGAACCTGACCCAACAAGGTGTTGGGCGCAGGCGCTCAACATACCATATCCCACCCGGGACTAAGGACCACGTCAGCTTCTGCAATGCGCTACGTCCCTCTTTAAATTAGCCAACCCGTGCGCACCTCGTGCTCACTCCGTATTCATCCCGTGCCAACTCTGTGGCAACCCCTGATTGGCCACAGCTGGATATAGTAGCCAGAGCCTGTGTCCCATTCCCGCCCTGCTTCCTCGTGGCAGCCTATGATTGGTCACAGCCAAATATATAAACTAGAGCCCGTGTAAATAAAGCAGCAGTTAACTGTCGCCCACAAGAGCGTCTCCTGTCTCATTGGGGGGCTGTGCCGGTCAACTGGTGGCCCGTATGGGGAGTGCTGAGACCCTCTCTCCGACAGTACGGGGAACGAACCTCTCTCCGACGGAACAGAGACGTTAACAGGTAAAACCGTCAAGCACCGATAGCAGGGGCTACGCGGCGGGCGGGGGCTGACAGGTTAAACTGCTCAACGTTGGTAGCGGGTGCTATGCAACAGGCAGCAGGTGCTGCCCGGCCGGATGGCAGGGGCTATCGGGCAACCTTGGGCGGACGCGTCGCAAGGGTCGAGGAACTCGTAAAGAGAGTTCCTGGTGCCGTAAAGAGGCAGGTTTTGGGGGCGCCATAAAGGGGCGCGGGGACTAAGCTGTCCCTGTTAAAAAAAAAATAAAAGGGAAAAGGAAACAAAAAAAAAAATAAAAAGAAACTCTTGAAATTCCGGTTAACATGGGCAACACCGCTACTCAGCCGCTGTCGGTCGCTTTGGGCGACTTACTGAGAGAAAAGGGATTACAAATGAAATGAGAACAAATTCAAAACTTCCTCGATCAGGTCGATAAGGTAGCACCTTGGTTTGGTCCCACGGGGTCCATTACCATGGGATAAATTAGGGAGAGATCTTGACTTTGCAGCAGAAAAGGGCCTCCTGGAGCCAGGAGTCAGACACCTTTGGGCAGTAGTGAGGAGCTGCCTCGCAGACTCCTCTTGTCGTGACCATATAAGGGCTGGCGCCATGGCGCTTGGTTACCATGAGGCAGAATCCTCCCACGAGCAATCTCGTGAGCCCAGTGTCGCAGGCAAGGCGACCGCACCCAACCCAGAAACAGAGGACTCGTCAGATAATGAGGGGGAAGAAGAAGACGTATACAAAATGGCGGATGCAGACACCACCGAAAGAGGGGAAGTCACACACACGCAGTCGAGAGGGCCCTACTCTGAGGCCATAAATGAGCTGCAACGCAGGATTTCTCAGAGTAAATGGGTCAATGAAAGCGAGTACGGGATCCCAGGGCCGCCCCGTATAAGACCTATGGCTCTACCTCCCGACCCGCCAGATTATCATGCTTACCCGAGACCCTGCCATCAGCTATGTAGCTGCCCGCAACGGGTCCAGACGTCCCCTGGGACATTCCAGGAAGACCTTTGGCATCAAGTCAAAAGAGAGGACCCAGGAGGCCTGGGCCGTTTTCTCCAGGCTTTTCCGGTTGCTGTAGATGCTCAGGGAAACAGAGCCCACCTGCCTATAGATATAAAGGTGATAAAGCATCTTAAGGAGGCCAGCACCATGTACAGTGTTAACGGGGTGTATACCCTGTCCCTAGTAGAAGCCCTGGCAGGAAATGCCATGACACCTGCTGATTGGGCCAGTTTGTGCAAGGCGGTGCTCAGCCCAGGCCAATATCTTGATTGGAAAGCCTGGAATGTTGAACTTGCCACAGAACAGGCCCAAGCTAATGCCCAGAACAATCAGGCCACCTGGGACGCGGATATGTTATTAGGACAAGGGCAGTATCTCAATAACCAGCTGATATTTCCACAAGAGGTATATGCACAGATAAATAGAATAGCCATACAAGCATGGAAACGGGTCTCGGCTAGGGGAGAAGTCTCAGGCCACTTGACAAAAATTTTGCAGGGCCCGAGCGAGCCTTTTTCAGATTTTGTGGCCTGCATGATGGAGGCGGCAGGGAGAATTTTTGGGGACACGGAGACAGCCATGCCACTCATTAAGCAGCTCATTTTTGAGCAATGTACTAAAGAATGTCGCTCTGCCATTAGTCCATACAAAAATAGGCCCCTTGAGGTATGGATGAAACTCTGTCGGGAGATCGGGGGGCCATTAACCAACTCAGGTTTGGCGGCCATGTTAATGAAGCTAACTAAAAAAGGTCA